AAGTTGTCGGGCGTCGTACGTTTCTTATTAAACGATTTCTAACGTTAATCGCGTGCGTGCTCGAAGCATTTAGTTTTTAAAACATAAAAACCGAGCGGCTCCGCCGGCGAAACCCGAGGTCGCTCATTTTCCACTTTCATCGGCTTCCGTTTCAGCGTGCTGCGAAGCTGCTCTGCTCTTGGTCTTCGACGTGGGGGCGCCTCGCAGTGACAAGGTCGTTAAACGTGCCCAGATAGAGGAAACGTTCTCGGGCGGCGTGCTGTTGTGTACGATCGCTCGAGCGGCTTTCACTTTTGCCACGGCTGTTCGGTAAGTTTCAACTATGAAAACCCGTCAAATTTTTCACGACACAGGATGCTCACGGTGATTCAATTCAAAACGAATCGGCCGCGATCCGGTCATGCGTGAATCCTCTGTTTATTTTCTTACACTTATCGTAAACGAACGGGCGACGAAAAATGAAAGTGGAATTGGCCGAGCATTCGTCGGACAAACTGAGTCATCTGGAGCAACGGTGTGTTAATTCAATTCAAACGTTGATTCTTAAAGAATCTTTCATTTTCACTGTTTCTTTCCTTAATCGATACATTTTTCGCAAATAAAGAGAACAAGTTTCGGTATTACAATTCGAGACACGTATTTCCATTGAAACCGAGTGAACGTCATTTCTAATCGAGGAAAGTTTATTTCAAGTTCAACTGTTAGAAGTAAATTTCTTGAAACAATTTAGTCTTCCGTTATATTCGCGCGAAACGTCGGTAGTTACGAAAGCTTCGAATCCGCGGTACAATACGAAACCGAGAGTATATATAGGATGCACGCGGAAAAAGCAATTAAACGTATTTATACATGCCCATTAACGCGTGAACATATTGCGTGCATTTGAAATCGAAAGCGAGAAGCCGCCCGATCACACGCTGTTATTTTTCTATACTTAATTAAGTTGTAGCAGATAAATCGTGCGCAGACGGACATTCTGAAAGCGGTGTCATTTGAATACAACACGGCGAGAGACGAAACGCGCCCATTAGAAAATGTTAATTTAATCTTCTTCTTTCATGGAACGTATCGTTATCTGGCCGATTCGTTTTGTTGGCCGTGTTTAATAAGGCGTGCGCGTAAAATGGCGATCCGAAGGAGGATTACACGGCGTTTGAGCACAAGGTACGTGGCCATCGCTCGTGAAATTGACTAATTCTGTGCAGAGAATCCGCGTAATTGGCAAACTTTTTACGGTATCGTGCGGCGCTGCATGTTAAATCTCCTCGATTATATCCTATCAGTTAGTTGAAGTTATGGCCACCGTGATCTCGTACTAGACCGAACGCCGCAGTTCTTTTCGTCGTATTATCTACTTTTTACATACACATTTGTTTCTCAATAATTTCAGCGATTCGGCCAACGATCTCAGTGAAGGACGTGTCGAAAACTATGGCTTCGAACGCTTTTGCCGTTTTAGTGGTATGTCGGCTTTCGCCGTTTTTTACGTTACACTTAGAACTTTATCATACCTTGATCAAAGCTTCAAATTGTAGTGAATATACCGATAACGATAATAATATTCAAGTCAACGAGGACACTGTTAACACATTGAATCCCGGCGATAATGCGGGATTTTTAGTCTCATTTTGGACTTTTAGATCATTTTGGATATGTATAACACAAATCCAAAGTAAAATTTGCAAATTCGAATTCCTTATTCCGTAAGTTAGAAATGTTGGTTTAATCGATGTTTAAAAATGTATCGAATCATCGACGCTCGCGTTTTTAGCTGAAGTTTAGCCGGCGTTCAATGTGTTAAGATTCGTGTGAATTAATAATACGAATTTCATTGTGCGTTCCGCGGTGAACAATCGAGCGCTAACGAAACGTCTGCGATTGCAGGGTCTGGTTTTAATTGGCCTGACACGGAACGCGTCGGCGTACGATCCCAACGATAAATCGCTGAAGGACATACTGCTGCCCGAGGGTCAGTTCGAGGCGTTTTACCTGAAAGGCTCGCAGGAGGAAGAGCAGAATGCGGTTAGACCGGCGCATCTTCACGGATCGTTTCATCAATACAGGAATCCCGCCTTGATCAACGCGCCGAACAGCGCGGCGTACGGTTTCCGCTTCGATGGAAAGCGCCGTTTTAATTACGATTAAGTTGTACCCGTACCTCCGCGCAGCGCGAACGATCGCGAAGTTCGATACGTCCGTCAAGACAACCTTGCGATTTCGTGCTGCGATCAACTTTCGACGCATGTATTATGTATCAACGTAGCATTGCTCGTTCGGTTTCTGAAACTCTACGAACTCAGTAATGCATTCGTTTGATATTAGCAACACTGTAATTAAGCGATTAACGGGTACCGGTCAACGATCTCTGAAGAAGATTTAAATAATTAAAAATTCTTGTATCGGACAGCGTTTACCGAGCACTGTGTTTCATTTAACGCACGCTATATCTCGTCTGTCCATCATTTTGTATTTTATCATCGCACATGCAAACCACCTTTTCTAATTGCAATTCAAAAAAGAAAGCAGCCAAAGTTTCTACTGTTCGCGAGTACTCTGTATCTAGTGTATCTAATGTTTGTAGCAGAATATTTAATTCAAAGTTGAACTTGTCTAGAAACTACTCCGTGAATAATCTTCTGTCTCGGGAGTAATAAAAATCACCAGCTGACCACCAGTGTAGTTTCTGTTTCCCTTTACTGTCGATCGAGCTGTAATTGCCGATTTTTACCGGCAACATGTCACGGGGTCCCCGTTCGCGTGCGGATGCATAGTTTTTCCCACCCGGCCGACCGTTTTTGCGCGTTAACATCGGTAAATTCGATTCCTTATGTATCTTTAATGATCGTTTTTAACAGTCCCGCGTTTTTTCCTCACCGCGGCACCGTATATGTCGACGACACGCCGCCTCTTGACCGGGACGGGTGCCGCGATAGCTTTCGATCCACGTCAATTAGGTGATTTATAAACAGGTCTGGCGAGATGCGTATTTACACACGCTACTTGGAAGTTCGGCGTTCTACCTTCACCGTTTCTAGATAAAATCCAGCGATTTTCCATGTTTGCCCGCAACCGACCGCCGATGGGTTCTGCCAATTAAAGCCCAGGGAAATTCACTTTCATTGAAGCGACTGCCTCCAGGTGGTGGAAGCCGACAGAAATATTCATGAGCCCGGTGAATATGCAGGGGGTATCCATATATATATGAAAAAGTGCAATAAACGACTGTCAGTCATTTATCCTTTTACTCCGGTCGGAGTTACCGTCGTGATTACACTTTCAGAGCTGTCGACGGTAATCACGCCTGTTACAGTTTCAACACGTCGAACGAGATATTTATATATCCACCATCGTGCATGGATTCGTGTGGCGGTTAAATCAGTGTATTCGATCAATTAAATATACTTCATCAACCCTCTCGTTGACGAGAAGAGTATAGACGTGTATTCTTTGACGATAAACACAGTCATTTAAACGCTCATATTTTCATCGAGAGGCTCCGCGGTTAGAGGTGCGCGAGATCGTTTCAAAGAAAATTCTTCTGTGACACATCAATTATCTACTTCTCGGACAGATCGGACGAGTCGTTTTTTCTTTTTTCATCGCAGAGAAAACTACCAGCGTCGGTACACGCAGAAACGATGTTGTCAAGTCCAGTTCAACAGTGATCCTACCAGTCGCTCCGGGGAACCTTTAAAAGACGTTGTCCATGAGCAGTAGTCCCCACAGTTGGATCGGTGTGGTGATCTAGTGGGACCTAGTGCGATCAGCATCAACATGAGGATCGCCCATGTGGTCACGGTGAGCCGATCAGTTGCTTCGTCGGGTCTTGCGCTGTGAACGTGGTGAACAGATCTTTGTGGGGCCGCTCTTCGGATTCGCCCATTCGATCTCGACGTGTCGTTCAGCCGATTTCGTCGTGTATTCGGTTTAACGTACCAAATCTTTCGGTTCAGTTCTCGATACTCGCGTCGGAAGTTCTGGTGACAAGTGTGCTTTCGAAAGAAACTTTACCGTGACAGTAGATGCTCTATAATAAATGAGTTACACTTCCGAAACATCAGATTTCGATGTGATAATCGTTACATAGACTGAACTGTGCATTAATGGACGGCGTTCTGCCTTTGTGCCCGTACTTCTTGTGTGAAGTGTTAATCAGGTCTAAAAGACGAACGCAACTAAATTCCGTCAACTCTTCCGTAACGGAAAATTCGTTGCCAGATGTTAGATCGAGAAGTCGATGCATCGGTCACGTTAGAATCGTTAAATGGTGAACGCAATTAACCGCGCGGCAAGCAGCCGTAACGAAGGCTCAAGAAACCTATAAAATCTCGATGTTTCGGAAGTACACTTCATAGTTACAAGTTCGTAACGAATCAGAAAGAAACGCACTAATAATCGTCGTCCCCGTTACATTTTAACCGGAGATACAGAAACCTCCGCTTCTCATGCTTTCTGTGTGATTACAGGCTTGTGCTGCATTAATATCGGCATTCCGCCGCGCGGAAACCGTGCAACCGGATAAGTACGTTTATCAGCGTTATGTAAATCATGAACCATACAAGTACCATTATTTAATTTACCATTCGTAGGTCAGATCTCATCGATCATTACAAACTATTACGTCGATGCCCCTCGTTGCCGGTTACTAACGAATTTCTCCTATCGCAGGCGGTTACAAAAGAAGGGCCACCAGCTCCAACCGAAGGTCTACAATGACACCGACATCGGCGATATCACGTTCACCACCCTTCAGCCGGAAGTGACGTCGTTCAGCTCGAAGGTTCATTCGAGCATCCAGAGTCCCGGCAGGAGGTTCAAGACTCGATCGTCGCACGCTCGTCAGCATCGCTACAAAGGTGGCCGACGTCGCAGGCAGCTGCAGAAAAATGGCGGCAGCCTGGTTCGAGTCGGTCGGTCGTACGAGACCGGCGAGAATCACATCGACCATCAGATCGAGAGCGTGCAGGGTCCACCGGACGCTTTCGAGGACGGCTCGATCCATCTCGAGCCGATCTTCCGGGTGTCGAAGAACAAGAACTTCGTGGACACGCTGGCGAACATCCTGCAGCGCATAGTCAGCCCAGGGAAGACGATAGGGCCGCTGGTGGGTCCGTTTCATTTCCCGGGGATAGGCGAGAAGGTTTACATTCGACTTCTGGAGCCCGACCAGCCTGATAATCTGGTGATACGGTTCGTCTCGTCCATGCCTGTCACCGAGATCGAGACCACGTTCGACAAGAGCATCCTGCCTCTCGAAGAGATAACAAAACACACCGAAATCCATTCCGTGACTCACGAGATCGGTCATCCTCCGATTCACGCCATCAGCCACGAGCCCCTGCCGCTTTCGACCGATTCGCTCAGGAACTCTTACGGGCAGCACATCAAACCGGACCCGCTGTCGGCCGGCCACGATTCGATTGCGAAGCCGAGTACAGTAAGCCAAGTGACTTCTGTCAAGCACCTAAAACATCCTCACATCTCCAGGACTTACAAAGTGAGCATCAAAGACGGGGAACCGGTTAGCATCCAGAGAGTCGTCAGACATCGCAAGAGGGTTCAGTATCCGGGGCCCGTGTCGCAGAACGGTCTGAATTTCCAGGCTGTCGATCAGAGGAACAACAGTCAGAACGACCAGTCTTATCAAGCGAGCACCTACCGGGAGACTGTCGCGCATAAGTATCAGTATCCTTGGTTGAACAACACGAACGCGGAGTCTAAAGTCCACGCACCGTACTCTAAACCGGAGAACGCTTCGAGCCCGCTGCAACGAGTGAAGTGGGATCCGATTGTTCCCGCGAAGAGTGCAGCTTGGAATCAGTTCGAAGCGAGCAATTCTTCTGGATCGGTGGAGAATGGTCCACGGTACAGCATCCAGTTCAGCAGCAAGAAGATGAGATACCTGAACATGGACGGCTCCGTCGACGCGCCCGAAGAGACGACGACCAAGAAGGAAGACTTCTCTATGCCAAGACCTGACTCGTATTGGCAAGTGATCAAGGACGCGGACTCGAGGAGCAAGAGGGCCCACGATCAGGCCAAAAAGAACTGAAGGATCTTCGGAGGAACGACGACGCCATCTTGAACGCAAGATCGAAGATAAGAGATCGAACAGCGATAGGATTGATTCGAGGAACGAGAGGCGGAGGAAAGAAAAACGAGAGAGGCGATCGTTGAATCCGCGTTTGCATCGGTGAGGCCGTGATCGCGTTGGTAGCGGCTTTCCTAACGACAGTGTATACTTTTCAGACAACGAACCGCGTCTCTGATTAATTCTGTAAGCCTTAATTGCAAGCAAAGTCGACTTGTCTCTGATTTATGGACTCCCTCGCCGCTTCGTTGGCGTTTTATTGCCGGCTGCTCTAAAGGCGGCTTGATTTTATAGGTCGTTAAGACAGTTGTTAAGTCAATCTGCAAGTTTGTGTTCGTTCGTCGAAGAATATGCGAAGGAAGGAACGATAGATACGGTGCGCAGCTCGCGCGTGCGAGTTCGTAACGGTTTGTTACCCTCCTGACGGTTTCTCAACTTTGCTCCGGTGGAATGATATCTCGTATCGGTTTCCATTCTCTTCTCTTAGATTCTGTTTCCCGAAGAAGACTGCTTATATTGTACTAACAACGTTTAAGTAACTAACGGCGACGATGGAAGAGAGAAATATTGTATTTATGGACTGATTCGATGCTCTTACCGCATCGCCGAATCAGCGAACGTGCATTTATAGGATACTTATCGTTTAAGCGTTAGAAGAAATATTTGTATTATTTAAAGTCCGTCGAGACTCTTTATCGAGAGGACAAACTTCCTTCGACTGTAAACTATCGAAACTGTATGAATAAAAATTGCGAAAACACTCGTTCGATTATTACGTAAGAAATGGCGAACACCCGTTTCCATTTTAGGAGTCAACGTACGAGTCACCGTGTGGGGTGAAATTAATGGAAACAGCTGATGATACCTCGCTACATTTCTCTTCTGTAATCTAAAGAAAATACGATTCGTGAGATCGTATTCTGCCAAGCATTGAAATCCCTCATCCACTGCACATTAAGACGATAGACGCGATAGCGCTCTTGACCACGCGTTCAAGTCACTGGAGCGTTGCCTCCGGTAATTGTACGTTCTCGTTTTTCCAATTAAACTATCA